ACGCCCGGGGAGGTTGGGCGAGGGCCCGCCCCCCCCCCCCCCCCCCACGTCCCCCATGGAACGGTACCTTCAGCTGCAGCATCATCCCCTCAGCCAGGCACCAGACCGGGAAGTAGTAGGCATTGAAGTAGAGCATCATCTGGAGGGGCAGGCTGGCCAGCACCTCGTGGGCTGGGCAGGGCAGGCAGGGGTGGGCAGGGCTGCCTAGCACCCCCAGGGCCTTGCTGCCCAGGGGGAGCCCCTGCCTCGCCAGCTCACGGAGGGGAGAGCGATGGCCCCTGCCATGCCTAGGGGGACGGCTGGGTAGCAAGAACGGCTGTTTGCAGCAAATGCACTTATTTTTGCTCCCCCTCATCGGTGGGTGGGTGCAGGGACCCTTCGGGTGCTCCCAGCTCGGAGGCACCCGCGTGCTTTGGTGATGTGCTGAGCAGGCTTGCGGTGATGAAGCAACAGCAAACCCCCCCCCCCCAATCCCTCTGCCGCCGAGCCCTGCTGCCCGTACCTGGGTGGTAGGTGTGGGCAGCGCCGCTGTCCCGTGTCTTGTTGTTGATGAAGAGGGAGCTGCTGAACGCCACCAAGCCCCGGCGGAGGTTGGGGGGCAGAGGAGTGTGCACAGCCATGGCCGGCAGCTGAGCCCTGCTCGCCCCAGCCCGGCTCAGCCGGGATTAGCCGGAAGGTAATTAATGGGATGACAGGTCGGGCTAATGTGTGGGGCCACGTGGCCATCGGCTCCCTGGGGACAGGGCTGCTGAGCCGGGAGGAGGATGTGGGGAAGGAAAATCCCCCCCGGGACACCAAGCCCATGCAGGAGCCACAAGGATACAGAGCGTCTCCCCTCTGCAGCAGCTCGCAGGGATGAGCAGCAGGTTGTACCCATCACCGTGACGGGGACGCGGTGGTGTCCCCAGCCCATGTACCTCGCAGGCAGCACTCTGCTCCGCCGCACCCTCTCCCAGCCGGGTTGTATCGATGTAATCATTGCTCAAAACTCCCTGACAGACAAAGATGCCCAGGGAGGGGATGGTGCTCCTTGCCAGAAACACTTCTTCAAAGCCTCCAGACTCATGGAGCATTTTACCCACCACCATGAGCTTCCCTGCTAATGGGCCGCCCCCGTGGGTCTCCATGCCGCTCAGCATCCCCAAGCCCCATCCAGGCTCGGGGGGCCTGGGGAGGGCAGTGGGGGACGGTGTGTGCAAGAGGGTGGTTGAGCCGGAGGTGAATGGCAGGGAAAGGGGATGCTTTGGGGCCTTCACGGTTAGTCCTACCCAACGGGCATGGTCTCATCTCTCAGCCTCCAACCCATCCCAGAAGGTGCATCAGAGCAGCTGCTGCAAATATTGGGAGAGAGTATTGTAAATGTGCTCCTTCAGGGCCAGGCACTGGCAAGGGACACGAGAAACCAAACAGAAAGAGGATTCTTCTGCTTGACAAAGCCAAAATGAAGCTGCAGAGCTCATTGCCATATGCTGCCAAAAAAAAAACCACCTGGAGCTGAAAGCGTGACTAAACCAGTGCATGACTGGCTGAAGTCCATCAAGGGCTTCCACGCACAAGGACCCAGTCTCTCCAGGCAGGTCCATGCTGTGAGCACAGCCCAGGGTACATGTCCTTTCTCCAGCTCTTCTGAGCAGCTGTGACACCCCAGTGTGGCCCCACGGCGTGGTTCAGGGCAGCTGCTCCCTGTCCTTACAGCTCTTCTGAGCAGCTGTGACACCCCAGTGTGGCCCCACGGCGTGGTTCAGGGCAGCTGCTCCCCTGTCCTTACATTACTGTATAAAAAAAAACCAAATCACCTATGCGAAGTGGATTTCACAGAAAATCTAACCAAGTGTGGAAAAAATACACCCTGCTATAAGCATTGGCCTGTTATTAGATAATGACACTGAGCTAAAGGGGGACAATGGATGAGCAGAAAGGCCCATGAGGTCCTTCTGGTCTATTTGACCAAGCCTGGGCAAGACATCTGAGGATGCCACTGGTGAGAAGACAGTCTCCACTGCATTGGGGAGGGTGTTTAACCACAGTTACGTTGAACACCTCCCAGCCTCAGAAGCGACACTGGGAAGACTTGCCTGGAGATGGTTGGCCACCACCATTCAGCTCGGACCAGCTCTAGCTGAGACAAGGGCAGCCAGCCCATGGAACAAGGGGACAAGCGTGCCACTGCGGGAAAGGAAGAAGGCGAAGCTATTTGTGTTGCCATGACCTCCTTGGGGTCTGTAAGAAGGAGCAAAGCGAGGTGTAAATGCCAGTACATGAAGAGGGGCGACGTTCACCCAAGCAACGAGCAAGGTGCAAAAGCAAGGGCAGAGATGGACAGGCGAAGGGTGAGGCCATACTTAATGTCTGGGAAACCACCTCGTGAGGAGCAGCAATTTTTTTAAACGAAGGCTTAGGGCACGGCAGAACTAAAAATAAACCTGTCACCTGGTGTGATGCTGAAACGAGATGTCCAGAGGGGTTCTCGGGTGTGTGGGAAGGGAAGGTGTGCTGTGCCCAACACCTGGCTCCCTGGGTCCTGCCAGCACACGGGGCGAGATGCGGGCAGGGTGACAGGCAAAGCCCAGCATCTGAGGAGCAGGAGCTGGTGGAGAGCTTGGGGTCTGGAGGCATCACATCTGTGTGGGCAACCCAGGTGAGCAACCTAGAAGATACCTGGGCAATCTGGTGAAGCTAAATGTGATGGGGCAATGCAGCCAGGGATCACTAACAAGCTGCATGTGCCCCAGCTGGGTTTAGCTAATGGTGCTCATTCCCGATGGGAACAGGCGGTTTCTCAAGAAGAGCTGGAAACTTTCTGTCCTGGCATGGGAGGTTGCACGATGTGCCTGGAGAGGCGGCAGAAGAGACAACCCAGCCTTGCCCAGATCCAGGACATGCTCACCACCGGTAAGCATTTGCCGAGGCGCTGGACGATGGGTCCCAGGTCCAACACCATCCTGCAGGTCGGTGTCAGGATGCCCAGCTATGCTGGCGGCCCTGCCCATGACCCGGCACATGTCCTAAGAAAAGCCATGGTGGTGACTGGGGTGTTATGGGGTGATGTTCCCAGCCCCGGCTGAAACAGCTCCTCTGTAAAAAGGGGGAATGGGACTTGTTCCCCACACTGCAGCCGTAAGCTGGGGCAGAAGGTCCTTCCTCGGCCCCTGCATGGTCTTCAGCCCCATGAACACGGGGATGATGCCCGCTGTGCACGGCTCATGCCCGACACTGGATGAGGCCCCAGCAGAGGCGAAGGAGTCAAAGGGTATCTTCCTGAAAAATGAAGTGCCCTGCCGATCTACCCAGGAGGACTCCAGAGGATGCCAAGTCTTCAGGTGAGCAGGAAGACGGAGGCCTTGGAAAAGCTCAGCCAAGCTGTGCTGGGGGAGCATGTGGGGCTGCCAGTCTCACCCAGTGTGGAGGCTGTGCCGGAGAGCCCGGGGGGGGAAATCACAGAGCTCCGAGGGGTGCCACCATGTGGTGCCCCGGCGTCCCCAGGCACCCCCAGCTGGGGTCCCCTGGAGAGCTGCCGAATAAGAGTCCGGCCATCCCACCAGCAAGACAACGGGATGCAAAGCCACATCTCTCCGGCGAGTGTGCAGAGCCGGGGCAGCAGGCTGGGCAGCTGCCTCCACCTGTGCAGCGTGCACAGCCCTGGCCCCTCTGCAAGAGCCCTGCCTGGGGCACCAGGGGCTGAGCAGCCCCGGATACCTCTGCCCTCAGAGAAAGCCCTCACCCACACTGCACTGGGGACGGGGACATCAACATTTGCCTTTTGGGACCTAAGATGAGACTTGCAAGTTCACATCCCTTTGTGGATCCAGCAGATATGTAACAGTTCAAGAGGAGGACCCTGTTCATCGCTGCGTACTGGAGCATGCACGTCCCTGCCTACCATCCCCTCTGGTCACGCTGCCTGGGAAAAACCTTGCAGTGAAACCAGAAGAGACCAACCAGAGACGTGACAGACGACCGGTGATGTTTCTACCCAGCAAAGATCAGAAAGTCTGGAAATAGATACAAGTGAGCTGGACACAAGTGGGAAGCCTCCACAGAAGAGGTGCTTGCACCACCCAGCCGACCTGCAGAGGTGACCCAAGGCCTTGGAAGAAATCAGAGATGATCCAGATCCCAAGAATAGTACTGCTTTAATTCATAGGGGGTGAATCAAATTAAAAATATAAATCCTCTTGCTTTGGGCTCAGGGTAAAACACTGACTGCTGGGGAAGAAACCTCCCCCAGGACAGAGCACTGGAGGCTCTCCAAGGGGGGTTCTCACCCCCCTGGCTCTGCTGGGCTGATGGACATGGGGCTGTGGGCTGGCCAGTTCCACTCCCGAGCTGGAGATAAGGCTCTTCTTCCAGCAAGGGGCAGAAAACACGACAGCAGAGCACTGACATGGAAAGCTGAGATGAGAAATGCAGCCTTGTCACTAGGCGACAGGACGAATGAGTGACAAAGGCCGGAGGACAGCCAGAAATACTCCTCCGGCTACTTTTCCTTGAGTAACATCTCAGCAGCAGCACTAATCCTGCGATAATCATTAAGGAGAGAGACATCAGAAGGCTAGCTGGAAGGACGGCCACCAAGCCCGCAGGCTGCAGTCCGGCTGTCACACCTCTCCAGGGAGCCCCCGCTCCACACCCCGGGGCTGACCGAGAGCTGCCAGTGCCCAAGCCCAAACCGAGCCCCGAGAGATGGGGAGCAGCGCTCCAGCCCCTTGTCTGCTCCAGGACGGGGAGATGCTGCGGGTGCTGGGACGGGGTCTGATGAGCTCCAGAGCCCTTGGCTTGGGTAGGGACCCACCTCTGCTGGGGGGGCTGGACAGGGCGACCAGCCTGGAGAAGGGAGAATGCGAAACACAAACACAGGCTGTACAGAGACCACCTAGCGTGACCCCATCTCCCTGGCCCCCCCAGGTGCTCCCCGGGGTGGATGGGCATGGGGAGAGCCGTGGCAAGCGCTGCAGCCATGCGGAGAGGGAGCAGATGTCAGACTCTGCGGGGATGTGCGTTGGAGCTCTCCTGGGAGCGAAGAGAATTTGGGAAGAGGCAACATGCTTGAAAGCACAGGGAGCAATGAAAGGCACTCACGCTGTTTACGTGGGCAAGGGACATGCTTGGGGCAGACCTGCCTGGGGACCCCACAGCCCATCAGCAGCATCTGCAGCCACGCGGTGCCTGTGCCCGCCGCCAGTGCCAAACCCTGCTTTCTCTGGGAGCTGCTTTTCCAGCATCCCACGGGAATTGCAACCACAGACCCCCAGCCCGGTAGGCACCGGGGCAGTGGAGCCGTCAGCAGTCTGCTGGGAAGGTAAGTGCGCAGTGACAGGCGCCAGGTTCATCCAAGTCTCAAAGGGAAATGACTGAGCTGCGGTGTTCCCGCTTGTCTGTGGAGCTGCCATCGCGTCTCCCCATGGCGAGGGCAGCATCAGGAGGGCACAGCCACCAGCGGCGTTAGGAGCCTTTCCCAGTTAGCCAGGACATATCTCCGGTTCTAAAAAAGAGAAAAAAACAGCAGTGCTGTGAGATGTTTCCCAGCGTGCGCAAGCAAATGTGCTCGGTCCGCCTGGGTGCTGCCCTCGGCGCTAGTCCTGTCGTTGGTCCCCGTCCCAGCACCCACGCTGCTCTGCAC